ATTTGAAATATAAATTTATATTCACCATCAGAAGCAGGAGTAGATATTGAGGCTGGCAGAGACAATGAGTTCATCTAACACATTGCATAAAAATCTTATGAAAATTCAGTGAGAAATGAAAATAATATTTTCTAACTTGAGATTGGAGGTGAAGAGGTATATTTGGTATATCATTTTACATGGTATATTATTTTATAAAACATCATTTTATAGATGAAAACTAAAGAATGACTGACAGTGGAAAAACCCAGGGAAAATGTGTAGAAATAAGAAAAGAGGATCATAAATATATCTTGATCAGTGTTTCTCAGAGGCTCTGGTTCAGTTCAGTTCAATCACTCAGTTGTGTCTGACTCTTTACAAACCCATGGACTGCAGCACTCCAGGCTTCCCTGTCCATCAGCATCTCCCCGAGCTTACTCAAACTCATGTCCATCGAGTCAGTCCGTGATGCCATCCAACCATCTCATCCGCGTCATCCTCTTCTCCTCCTGCCTTCAATCTTTCCCACCATCAGGGTCTTTTCAGATGAGTCAGTTCTTTGTATCAGGTGGCCATAGTATTGGAGTTTCAGCTTCAGCCTCAGTCTTTCCAATGCATATTCAGGATTGATTTCTTTTAGGATTGACTGGTTTTATCTCCTTGCAGTCCAAGGGACTCTCAAGAGTCTTCTCCAACACCACAGTTCAAAAGCATCAATTCTTGGGTGCTTAGCTTTCTTACTGGTCCAACTCTCACATCCATACATGACTACTGGAAAAACAATAGCTGTGACTATAAGGAACTTTGTTGACAGAGTAATATCTCTGCTTTTTAATGTGTTGTCTAAGTTTGTCATAGCTTTTCTTCCAAGGATCAAGTGTCTTTTAGTTTCTTGTCTAGTCACCATCTGTAGTGATTTTGGAGCCCAAGATAATAAAGTTTGTCACTGTTTCCATTGTTTTCCCATCTATTTGACATGAAGTGATAGGACCAGATGCCAAGATCTTCATTTTTTGAATGCTGAGTTTTAAACCAGCTTTTTCACTCTCCTCTTTCACTTTTGTCAAGAGACTCTTTAGCTCCTCTTCACTTGCCTGCTACATCCCTAGAGTAAGCATAAGTTCAAAATGGTCCTTAGAGATGTCCTGCCTTAATTTCTAGACCCTCTGAGTGTTTGGTATCAGTCTCACGATTATGTGCTTTATAACATTAAGGCACTGTGGAATTTAAGATGGAGAGATTATGCAGATGAGCCTGATCTAATCCGGTGAGAGCTTTAAAGCAGAAAGTTTTTCCTGCTGCTGCCAGAAGGAGGAAGTCAAAGAGTTGCAAAGTGTGAGAAGAACTTGATGTGCTGTTCCTGGTGCTGGGGATGAAGGAGAATGAGAAGAAATATGGACAGTTCTAAGGAGCCCTGCAGCCCCTGGCCACCAAAGAAACAGGAATTTCAGTCCTTCAACCACAAGCAACTGAGTTCTGCCTACAAAATCAGTGAGCTCGGAAGCACATTCTTCCCCAGGGCCTCCACACAAGAGCCTCGCCAAGCTGACATTGTTATTTCAATCTTGTGGGACTCTGTATTCAACAGAGCTTCAAAGCTACAAGACTATAAGATAATTGGGTATTGTTTTAAGCCTCTAAATTTGTGGTCATTTGTTATGAATCAGTGGAAAAGCATATAATCTCTAACTCACAGTAGTGGATATTTAGTTCAGGGAAACAATAATTTGCCAATAATGCTACTAAAATATATATTAGAATCCTGAAAGGCATCATTGTTTTGCATAGCAGCTTAAAAATACATTGAAGAATTGCCAAAATAGATATTCAAAAATTTCAACTTTATTGGATCGGTATTCCATTTACTCCTAGTCCCAAGTGTTATGAAACTTTGTTAAGAGGGAAATTAATCCATTGAATGTCTTCCAACATTAAAATTAAGCTCAACAACTTCTCCTGAAAAGGGTCTAGGACTTCCAAAGCAAGTGAAAAATCATAGTTTTCAATGGAAGAGGGACATACTGATACAGAAGTATAATCCTTGTTGAGAGCAACGTGTTTGATGAAAAACTAGGAGTCTTAAATCAACTCCAATGGATGTTACATAATATTTATGCCTACAGTATGAAAGAGAAGTTATCCTCACATACCTCTGAGCATATATTTGATATTACATTCTAGAAAAACCAGCAATTTACAGTATGAATAAGCTCTTGCCCAATGGATGGTGCACATATAAAGTAGGAGTGCTTTATGATTTTTTTCTTCCATTCATGACATATAACCCATGCAAGAAGATAAAAGTTGCTTTGTGTGTCTAAGATTATTCATAACTCATGATGAAGGATGAAAAATGTCCTAATGAAGCACAAACTATAGAGGCAGAAAGAGAGTGTTGTCTTATAAAGAGCAGAGGTTGTCAATGTCAGCACATGAGTCATAGTGAAGAGTTTGGTAGATTGTAATTTGCACCAAAATATCACTAAACTTTTATAAACAAATTAAGATTATACATAAGGTCAAAATAAATGTTTACTCTGAAAACTGAACAAACAACACAAGATTGTGATTTTGCATGTTGAATTATGCTACTGAAGGAAAACTTCCTCATTAGAAGGCTGATAATATTGAAAATTGACTTTTCCATGATTTTATCTGGCTTATCAAAGGTACCTGCATCAGTGATGTATATTCTGGCATCTCACTATCCAGACCTCAATGTCTGGCATCTCACTATCCAGACCCCAATCATTTGTCATGTGCAATATGTTAAAAAGTCACATCTAAGCATTTTAGAAACAGGAAGACATAGTTTATGGAGTTAAATTCTACCAAATTGTGGTTTGGAGCTTTTCCCACTGCTATCATTTAACAACTTTTTGATTATTTAAAAGATGACATACTTTTTAAATGGCATCTGACAAAATTCTGTAATAGTTTGAATGAGAAATTTCTTGGTCAATATTAGACCTATTAATCATCAATCCTGGAGGAAGATATTGACTCTAATGTGACCAAGATTTTTTTCTATTTTGGTAAAAATATAAGGTAAAAACATACCATGATATATGTATGTGTATATATATATTCAGCCCTTCACTTAAGGTGGCCAAAATATTGGAGCTTCAGCTTCAGTATCTTTCCTTCCAATAAATATTCAGGGCTGATTTCCTTTAGGATTAATTGATTTGATCTTATTGCAGTCCAAGGGACTCTCAAGAGTCTTCTGCAGCACTGCAGTTCGAAAGCACCAATTCTTTGGCACTCATTCTTCTTTATGGCCCAACTCTCGCACCCATACGTGACTACTGGAAAAACCATAGCTTTGACTATACAGACATTTGCCTGCAAAATGATGTCTCTGCTTTTGCATATACCATCTGTGTTTGTCATAACTTTTGTCCAAGGAGCAAGCATTTTTAATATCATGGCTGCACTGTCCACAGTTATTATGGAGCCCAAAAAAATAAAATCTACCACTGTTTCCATTTTTCACTATCTATTTGCCATGAAGTGATGAGACCAGATGCCATGATCTTAGTTTTTTGAATGTTGAGTTTTAAGCCAGTTTTTTCACTCTCCTCTTTCACCTTCACTACATATGTATAGTATAGATGTATATATAGATAGATAGACAGATGTGTGCATAAATATACATATATAAGGGACATACTTGTATATCATAAACCAGCTTTGTATGGAGTCAAATCTATAACTTAAATTATGTTTTTTTTAATGCATTGGTTAAAGTCTACATTATGATTGCCTCATTTGTTTGGAGAAACTATTACCTTTCATTTTAAATATTACATTTTGCTTTATTATTTAAAGTTCCATTGAAGAATACGTCACTTAAAATTAAGGGCCTTTTTGTGCACCTGAGGAGAACAGTTTTTTTGGAAGCACTTACCTAACTGATTTAAGAAGAGAGAAATAAATGTTCACCAAGACAGGGCAGAACCATGATAAACTGATGTACAAAACTTCCAGGAGTTGGCCAAGGGAAGTGGCATGTTCAAAGCTATTTGGTTGATAATGATCAGTTTTGTGTTTTATCCTGTTTTATCCTGCAATATACATGATACATAAGATTCCTTGTTTTCCAGCATCAAATTTGCATGACTATCCTCATGGTATAAGGAACTATTCTTTTTGGGAAACTATGTGCCAAAGGTAAACTATTTTGTTTGTTTGTTTGTTTTGACACGGATACTCTCTCTTGTTTAATTTTTTCTTGCTAAATGGTCTTGCTTTCAGATATTTCTGTGTATGTCACAACTCTAGATGGTTGGTAAGCCATCCGAATGGAGGCCAGGAAAATCACCAGGCCATGTAAAAATTCAGCGGTTGTAGAGAAGGCTAAATGACGCAGTACAAACAGCATCGCCATCCTGGGCAGAGTGTTCCTCCCAGGTGAGGCAAGAGGAACAAACAGGCTTTTTAGAAAGAACAAGTGTTGTTCCCATTGATGTTAATAATAAATCCTCATTCAGGAGATTCTGTCAATAACATGCTGCCCCCAGTCGCCTCATGCCTGCAGCATTGCGCTCATGCTACGGCAGCAGGATGAGCTATCAAAGCCTCGTGCAGTCACAGAGAGTAGTTTAAAGAGGTACAATAACAGGCGATTTGCAAACAGCCCAAACCTTTAGCTTCCTCCTCCTTTTCCCAAAGTGTGCTGTGAATTTACATTAACACCTGCTATTGGAGATAAAAGAACGGATTTTCACTGCAAGGAGAATGCCAAATCCTCCTATAAGAGTAACTCATTTCCCTACATTGCGGGATGTTATGCTGACGTGGAGGCAGCATATTGTCTGCAGTACACTGGGTCAAACTGGGATTTTCAAAAATAAAAATGGCACACCACATTCCACACACAAAACTCAGAAATCTTGTCTCTCCAAATATTTTCTACTCAATCACCAGATTAAATTCACTCTGTGAGCAGGTCATTTTCATTGTCCAAGGGTAATTTGCATCAGACCACTTTTTACTATATACTCACTCAGATAACTATGACATCTAAGAGTTCCATGCTGTTAAATTCAGTTTATTGTGGAACGTAAGGGCAATTAAGGGAGAGGAGATGACATTATATTACATGAAAGTGAACTACAGGAAAAGGAGGTGTTACTACTAGTAATTTGGTGTATGTAAATTTAAGTTTGAGTATTTTCCCCATGTGAAATGGCAGATACTATTTCTAACAGCTCACTATGTGCCAGACACTTTACTCAGATCTTGATGACTAGTTAAGAGTTAATGAATCATTGATTGAGAATTGGGATGAACAAAAAAAAATAAACCAAAAATTCTTGAAGTTTAAAGAATACCACACACATCACAAAACCCATTTATGAAGTCCTGATACATTTATCTACCTGATTCCCCTACATATTTGGATGCTGTATTAGTTTTCTATTCAGTTCAGTTCAGTCGCTCAGTCTTGTCCGACTCTTTGCCACCCCATGAATCGCAGCACGCCAGGCCTCCCTGTCCATCACCAACTCCTGTTTTCTATTACTGAGTAACAAATTATCACAAATTTAACAGTTTAAAATAAGATATATTTATTATTTCAAATTTTCTGTAGGTCGGAAATCTGGGCATGACTTAACTGGGTCCTCTGATCAGGATCTTTCACATGGTTGAAAATTGAGGTGCCAGCCAGGGCCGGGACCTCATATTAATGTTTAGCTGGGAAAGTATTCACTCCCAAACTCACAAGTTACATGTAGAATTGTAGTCCACTCTAGGGCTTCCCTGATGACCCAAATGGTAAAGAATCAGCCCACAATGCAGAAGTCCCTGGGTCGGGAAGATCCCCGGGAGGAGGAAATGGCAACCCGCTCCAGCGTTCTTGCCTGGAGAACTCTATGAACAGAGCAGCCTGTCAGGCAACAGTCCACGGGGTCACAGAGAGTGGGACATGACTGAGTGACTAACACACGTTTAAGTGTTTTTGGATTGAAAGACTCAATTCTTAATTGTTGGAGGGTCACTTTCGTTCTTTGCCATGTGGATCTCTCCCACGTGTCAGCTTTATCAAAGTTAGCAAGGGAGAAAATCTGCTAAGGTGCATAGCACTCTGTTACCTAACCCAATCACGGAGTGAATATCCATTAGAGTTGCCCTAATCTACAGCTAGATGAAAAGTGCAGGTCTTGCTCATGGTGAACAGGAGATAATGACATAAGAACTTGAATACTAGGAGACAGACATTATAATTAGAGAACATTCTAGAGTCTGCTTTCCACAGCTGCTTTGCCCCTTGACTTAACACTTGGATTCACTTCCCATCCTCTGCTGAGTTTGGTGTCCTCAAATTCAATTCAATTTCCAGAAATATCCCACCACTCACTATACAGATTTCACTGGCGTTAGGACTAAACGTACAGAGCCAAAGGTCACTTCTCTGAATTTGGTCCAAGGACTTCCCGTTGTTTTGTGTAGTAGATCTTTGGAGTTGTGCTGCAGGCTTTCTTGCTCCATGCTGTTGTCCAGGTCAAAACTGCATTGTGGGCTGCAAGCTCTCTCTGCCTGTCCCTGCTCCCAGGGTCTTCTCCTTCACAGGCCGTTTCCTCACCCTCAAATATCTCACACATCTTGATAGCCACTTCTCATAATAATGGAACTAACACACAGTTATACATAATCAAAAAAAAAAGTTATAGGAAAATAAAAATGACCATAATTATGACATTATGACTGAGCCTTGATAAAGACTATAAATAATTTACATCCAAGGAAAAACTTTCTACAACTGACTATTCTGCTGCCTTTTCTTTTAAATGTCTTCTTTTCATACGTGCATCTGTTTTATTTGAGGGAAAAAAGATCTTACATATTCTGTTAATTATCACCCTTCACTTAGAGATTTTTCTTGGATCTGAGGCAGAGAGTTGGGGTGAGGGGAGAGAGAGAGGGAAAGACAGTGAACAGCAAATAGTTTTCTTTGTCTCTTTAATGACATGTGTGTACATTAAAAATGCATTATCATACAAATAAGACTGTTTTCTCACATCTATACACAAGGTTTTAATTGTACAATTGTTATAAATAAGTTGCTATGCTATTATCATTAATGTTTCATTATATGTGAAGGATATGTTAATAAATACATTCAGCCCTTTTCTGTTAAAGTACAACAGTTTCAGATTTATTTTTATGTGCTTCTTACGAACAGATCATGTCATCACGTCCATTTTATTAAAAAGCGAAATGGGCATACCAAATTGTTAAAATAGTAGTGAAGCATTATCAAGAATAAACTAATTTGAAGATTTCAAGATTTACCAAGCTGATATATCTTAGCAGATGTTTACGGAGTAATCATCCTTGAATTCAAAATCTTTAAATTTGTGTGTCAAAATTGGGCTCCCTTCTGCACAAATGGGAGTAATAATGCAGATTGATGGAGTGATATGGAGCCAGAACTGATACCTTATTGAACCTCAATTTGTGGAGTTTCTGAAAGCTGCCCTCCCACGTTTCTGAGAGTAGAGAGCAGACTTATGGACATGGGGACGGGGAGGAGAGGGTGAGATGTCTGGAAAGAGTAACATGGAAACACATTACCATGTGTAAAATAGATAGCCCATGGAAATTTGCTGTATGGCTCAGGAAATAAACAGGGGCTGTGTCTCAACCTAGAGGGGTGGGATGGGAAGTGAGATGGGAGGGAGTTTCAAAAGGGAGGGGATATGCGTGTATATATATATACCTACAGCTGACTCATGTTGAGGTTTGACAGAAAACAACAAAATTCTTTAAGCAATTGTCCTTCAATTAAAAAAAAAAAAAGAAAGAAAACCCACAAGTAGACACAGACTTTCCTCCTAGGGGCGCTAAGAACAGTCTCAAAATGCCTGACCATCTTTCACTGAGCTCTATTTTTCTGAAGTTGTGTGATTCATTTTTGTACTTGAGATACTAATTTTTGATTTTTTATTATATTCTCAACGTCTTGCCTGAATTTGCTGTGTTTTACATTTTCTCATGATGCTGTACTGTGCTTAGCCACTCAGTCATGTCCAACTCTTTGCAAGTCCATGGAGTGTAGCCCACCAGGCTTCTCTGTCCATGGGAATTCTACAGGCAAGAATACTGGAGTGGGTTGCCACACCCTTCTCCAGGGGATCTTCCCAACCCAGAAGCCAAACCCAGGTCTCCTGCGTTGTAGGTGGATTCTTTACCATCTGAGACACCAGGGAAGCCCATGAATACTAGAGTGGGTAGCCTATCCCTTCTCCAGGGGAACTTCCTGACCCAGGGATTGAACTGGGGTCTCCTGCATTGCAGGCGGGTTCTTTACCAGCTGAGCTTCCAGGGAAGCCCTTGCCCATGATACATGATCATAAAGAAGATGTAAAGGTTTTCATCTATCTCGTTTACTAGTAATACTTATTGCAATAGGTACATGTATGAAAAACACAGAGCGGAATTTCATGTTATCTGTTACTTGGGGAAAGGTTGGAAAAAGAGAACTTGGAAGATTTTGACTGTGTCTGCAGATTTATTTCATTAGACAAAAAACTGAGACAAACTTGCAAAATGTGATATTTTTAAACCTGAATGTTAGAATTTATACCATGCCCATGGATAATACACATGTGTATACACACACACATACATGTCTATGGTGCTGGTAGGCATCATGTCTCTAGTTCTCCGCAACTTTGGGGCTGTTCCAATAAGGGTAAGAGTAATGTGAGGGCTTCCAAGCTGGCGCTAGTGGTAAAGAACCCACCTAACAAAGCAGGAGACATAAGAGATGAGGATTCGATCCCTGGGTTGGGAAGATCCCCTGGAGGAGGGCGTGGCAACCCACTCCAGTACTCTTGCCTGGAGAACCCCACGGACAGAGGAGCCTGGCGGGCTGCAGTCCATGGGGTCACACAGAGTTGGACACGACTGAAGAGACTTAGCATGCGTGCAAGAATAATGTGAAGAGGCCTGCAGGAGATCAGAGAGTGTGGAGAAAGCATCTGGTTCCGTGAGTCAGTTTTGCCCCACCATAATCAATTCAGGTCTCTATATTCAGGCGTCCTTCATTTATCCTATCAAATGTAGTTCTTTCTAAATAAGAATATATCCTGAGAATAAAGTGGTGAAAAAAGAGAAGAGAAGCAAAGACTTTCAAGAGACCCTTTAAGGAGGACATCTGAGGAAGCATAAAGCGCATAATAATGTTTTTCTGAGTTTGTGATGATACACATTTTAGCCACTAAGAGGAAAAATAGAATCTGCAGAGAATAAAGGTAGAAATTTGGCTGCAGATGTTTGCAGGTTTTTGAGGGAAAATGATTGTTGACATGTCTGAAGAGTAATATAAGGGACTTGAAGTTGTATATAAAGGGCAAGGAAAGGGATGATAAGTCATATTTAAAGAGACACAAAATAGAAATTATGCTGCTGTCTGGATGCATCAAGGTTAATCACCAAGATATGATGCAAAGTGGAAGGAAATGAACTCAAGAGAAATTAATATCATTCCTTTTAGAATGAACTTAAGCAGGAAAAAAGTGAGATGGGCCAAAATTAAACTTGGGTGGGAAAGGGTGTGATTCTATAATGTAGAACAAAAGACAAAGTAAGATTTCTTCATCATTCACTTATGAACAGTCTGTAGAAAGGGTACAACCAGGATGAAAAATCCTTTCTTTGGGCTTTATTAACTTCCCATTTGTTTTGACTTAGAATAAGTTCCTTTTGTTCTCTCTGGTTATTTTAATTTTCAGATTATTTTACACACCTTAGCGACAGTGAGATAGCTAATGTATAGCCTTTCTCATTAAGCTATATAGCCATTATTCTGCTCCTATTTGGGTTTTCAAAAAAAGTTTAAAATTTTGCCTTCTTCAACTTTTTACTCTGTTGAATCCATAGAAATTTTCTGGAGGCTAAAGAACCCTTGGAGGTGGACAAAAGAATGGCAGCTTGTCAGAACTCGTGAGGGTGATCAAAGGTGGCCAGGTGCTCTCTTAACCTTTGATCACTTACACACAGTTCAATAGTTGATTAAGAGCGCAGTATTGCTCTGTGTCCTCAGATTTTTTTCGT